AATGTGTAAACTTGTTGTGAGCTCAAACTATTAAGAGGTACTGTCAAAAATGGTGCCGACTTGCTAAATTATAAAATGTCAAGGGATCAGTGCACAGACAGGCACTGGTTAAAAATGGGAGAAAAACCTGACGTTACAGAAACTTCCATTTTTATATAAAGGTATCTCACTGGGATGAAACTGTAAGAATAGATGGAAACTCAAAATTGTACTGTAGGATGTGCACATTATATTATTGGCCTGCTGCTTTTATACCCACCTCAGCAACCACCTCGATGTTTACGATTTAATCTACTGGAGTACTTCACTAATGAAGAGAGGACTCTGGACCAGTGTTTAATTAATATTTTCTATCACTGATGTGGTTTATAGACGTGGACACTCAGGGTTTAGAAGCTTTCTTTATTTGAGAAGGAGAGTCTCTGTGAAGGTCCCACAATGACACTGCAGAATTCTAGAAACATGGAAACTAAACCAAAATGGGTTTGAGAAGCTGGCATCAACTGAAAATTTGTAGCACTTTTTTTATTTGAAAATGCTCAAAAATTTGACAGGACCATGACATTTTATGACAACCACCTCAAATGTTTTGAAGCTTGTCAGTAAATGCTGTTCACCAAATCATCTCCAACAGTCAGAGCTTGAAAGAAAATATTTTTTGATGTAAAAGCTTTGTTGTCTGAACAGAAAAGTAGTTGGCGATGCAAACGTGGACGCTTAAGATAAAAAGCTACTACTGACCCGCATTACTGATAGTTTCATCTGTTCAGGAAGCCTTTTTACAATCAAACTATAGCTATTTTTAAGTTAACTGAGTTTTATATTTATTCTAGTAACTTGTATTTAATTATGATCCTACTGTGTTTGTACAGCTCTTCAACAGTATGAAATTATATACAGTTTTAGCTTTAATCAACCAACATTAAAGAACTGTCATGGAGACAATGTGTCAAATCAAACACTGACCAAACTAACAGATGAAACAAGCTACAATGATTGACTCTTATCTAGGTTCAATTAAATAAAATCACTCRTCATTTGCAGACATGATGAGTGTCACTGCATTTGACTAACTGTATTATAAAAATGCAGGTTGAAGTAAGTGTGTTTTGTCATGGTGACTGAAGGAGTGGTGATTGTGACCATGGAGACAGAGAGCCAATCAGGCGGTCCAGATGAGGAGCTTTTGAAGCAAAGGCTGCATCAACACTGCTCCCTCTGTTCCTTTGTTTTCAGTCGTCCCATCTTTCTCCACTGACCTCAGCCCCGCCTCACACACACACACACGCACGCACGCACGCACGCACGCACGCACGCACGCACGCACGCACGCACGCACGCACGCACGCACACACAC